TTAATGAATAACCCTCAACAGTGGTTAATTGGCGGAAAACGATTATATGAAAGTTTTTTGTTTAGCGGCTGATCACTTTCAAATAATTTTCAAAGCTTTTTAAGAAAATTTAACCGATACGTGCCACGGGCAAGGCCGGGTTATACTAGTTGTTTATACATAAATATGTATATAACTTTCGGTCTTGGCATTACTTCCAGACACATCAATTGGGATTCGCAACTTGATTTTCGTTTGTAAGCAATCGGACTATATTAAACAATTTTGCAATATAATTAATTAATAACTTTTCCAATATAATTATCATTAGGCATTTTGCTATACTCCTACCCCAATTAAAGGACAATCAAGGTGCATGACAAACACTTCCAGTCGCGGCAAATAGACAGCTGGCCAAATCTCACATTTATTCACTAATCGGTATTTATGGATTTAGTATAAAGGCTCAGTGTATAGCTATCTGCTCGCAGTTGCACTTGCAATGGCCGGAATATTCAGACTAACGTATCCCTCTCCGCTTTCAGTTCGCATACGTTCCAGGCAGAGTTGTGCCTATATGTATCGTGTCATGATGTTCGTTGGCTGGATTCCACCTGAGCAGGGCTTGAGGCGGTATCTGTAGCTATGTTGGACGTGCTTTGTTTTTGCTTATTCAACAATTTATATACCAATCGGCCTAATGCTCAGCCTTATAATTGACTCAAAGAGACTTACGCCTGGAGAGTTTCTTAGTGTACTTCAAAATTGTTCAAACCTATTCGGAGCCTCGCTGAAAAGTATCGTATTGTTATTTTTCCAAGCGCGTCTTCACGAGACAACATCGATTCTTGATACCCTAGACGAGCGACTGCGCAGCGACAGCGATCGTCAAAGGATACACAAAGCTGTTGCCGACTCGAACTACATCTTCTTAGTTTATGGTAAACTTTACTTGGGCTATACGGTGTCCGATTTTATAGCCGGAGTAGCAAATAACCAGCCACCATGGCAAATGTACAACCCACTCTTCGATTGGCGCAAGGGAATGCTCAGCTTGTGGTCGCAATCTTTTCTTGAGTTCATGGCGATTTTCTTGATGGCTTCTGTGATACTTATTATGGATACATATCCCATCATGTTTCTAAATATTTTTAGAGCTCACCTCGACGTGCTTAAGAATCACATTCAAGGTCTGCGCACCGATCCGCTCAAGACAGAGGCTGAAAACTACGACGAGCTCGTGGACTGCATCTCCTACCACATGTCGATTCTTCAGTAAGTCTGAGAAGTATGTTCCATTTTCTTCCTCATTTATAACTTCTATCTTTTTAAGCAGAGGCTGTGAGTTATTGCGTCCAGTTATGTCGTGCACAATTTTTATACAGTTTCTGCTGATTGGCTTTGTGCTGGGACTTACGTTGATTAACATCCTATATTTCTCTGGACTATTCCGAGGCCTATCCTCGGTTATATTTTTTGCTAGTGTCCTGGTTGAGACTTTTCCCTTTTGCTACCTCTGCGATTCGCTCGTTGATGATTCCACAGACTTGGCCAATCTATTGGCTCAATCGAACTGGATTGATGCTGGGAAGAAATACAAGTCCACGCTGAAGATTTTTTTGCAACACGTGCAGCAGCCTATATTGTTCATTGCTGGAGGCCTCTTTCCCATCTCATTGAGCAACAATGTTAAGGCGGGTATATTTATTTATTAATGAATAATATCTTATGATTAATTACGATTTTCAGATGGCCAAGTTTGCGTTCAGCGTTATGACTATAGTGAAACAAATTAATCTGACTGACCGATTTAAATAATTCGATTTGAACACAGCATGTACGAGTCTGATGATGTGTAAAGATATTTATTTAAGGGACCATGATCTATTGTACCAGAATTAAATATCCAAACACTGAAATTATTTGATAAATCCTCTAAATGAGACCGTTCGAAAGTTGAAACTAAGCATGACTTGGAAGGTTTCAAAACACACACTTAATTATACTAATCTGCATTAAATGAACAGAAAAAAGTATTATTCTATGCACTTTACTGGGTGGGGTTTGAACCCAAACTTCATAGGGGCGTCTGTCATAGAGCCAGCCTTGAAATTGACAAATCAATCAAAGTAATTTGTAATATCCTCGTTTTTATTCCCTGAACCCATTAAAAATGGGTGTAAGGGTATATTGTATTTGTTCAAAATCCAAATGTATGTAACAGGCAGAAGGAAGCATCTCCGACCCCATAAAGTATATATATTCTTGATCAGCATCAATAGCCGAGTCGATCTAGCCATGTCCGTCCGTCCGTCCGTCCGTATGTATGAACGCAAGGATCTCAGAACCTATAAGAGCTAGAGACTTGAAATTTTAGATGTGGATGCTCCTAGCTCCCGCGCAGATCGAGTTTGTTTCCGATCATCGATAACTTGCTCCGTTTCCAAGCAATCGATATCGATATCCTGTTTTTTTGTCAATTTTGGTAAATAATAAGAGCTAGAGTCACCAAACTTGACATATAGCTTCTAAAATAGAATATATATATGCATTTGATTTTGGAAGAAAAGGGTTTAGGGTATCCCCTAGTCGAGAGCTCCCGACTAGAACCTCTTGTTTTGTTTTTAATCTCATACTCATTGCTGCGGGATTCTCTCTCTCTTGGCAGCTCGAAGCTCACGCAAACTTTGCACATGGATTGCCATCCACACATATATGACAGCGTTATATGCTTTTTCATACCCAGCTTGCAGCTCGAATTTTCCAAAACTACATATTTGTGGCCACTTTCGACCAAAAGTCAGATTTGTACGAATTTTAGCGTACTTGACTTTCTTTTTATTCTATCTCCATTCCTAAATGTCTTTCACAGAAGGTTGTCCTTGAGGAGTCCCAAATGATTGACATATCGATGTCCCTAATTACAGGTTTAGTTCCAAGTCCCGGCTTGTGTAGGACACCTTTAGTCGCGCGAACTAACCAGCTGGTCTCCTGCCAAGGGTATCCTTAAATTCTATATAAGCTAGCCACGTTCTGGTTTTTCGCACAGTCTCAGTTGCAATGCCCGGAATATTCAAACTAACTTCTCCAGCTCCCTTGGCCGCTCCTATACGTTCCAGGGAGTGTTGTGCCTATTTGTATCGGATTATGATGTTCGTTGGGTGGATTCCCCCTGAGCAAGGCTGGAGACGATATCTGTATCAGTGTTGGGCGTGCATCGTATTTGCCGCTTCTACATTTTTTCTACAACTTGGCCTTCTTTTCAGCCTTATTTTAGACTCGAAGAACTTTACTCCCGGCGAATTCCTTGGTGTGCTTCAAATGTGCTCAAACCTATTCGGGACCTCGCTAAAGAATATTTTTATGTTTTTTTACCTAACACGTCTGCACGAGACGAGATCGGTTCTTGATACCTTGGACGAGCGACTGCACAGCAACAGTGATCGTAGAAAGATCCACAAGGCTGTTGCCGACTCAAACTACATATTCATGGTTTACTTCAATCTTTACCTGGGCTATACGGTTTCCGACGTTATAGCTGGAGTGGTAAACCACCAACCACCCTGGCTAGCCTACAATCCATTCTTTGATTGGCGTAGCGGAATGGACACCTTGTGGATGCAAATAATTTTAGAGTTTTCGGCCATGATTTTGACTGCATCCATAATATTAATAATGGATACATATACCATTCTGTTCTTATATATATTTCGGGCACATATGGATGTGCTGAAGGATCATATCCGTAGTCTGCGTACAGATCCGCTCAAGAAAGAGGCTGAGAGCTACGACGAGCTCGTCGGTTGCATTACCTATCACAAGTCGATTCTTCGGTGAGTCTGTTAAACATATCCCATAGACTGATATTCTTTCTATCATTATTTGCATATAGATGCTGTGAATTATTGCGCCCCGTCATGTCGTTCACAATTTTTATACAGTTTCTACTCATCGGCATTGTGCTGGGATTAACTTCGATTAACATTTTATATTACTCCGGTCTGCTGCGAGGCTTATCCTCGGTTTTATTTTTTGCTAGTGTCCTGGTAGAGACTTTTCCCTTTTGCTACCTCTGCGATTCGCTCGTCGATGATTGCGCAGACTTGGCCAATCTATTGGCTCAATCGAACTGGATTGATGCTGGGAAGAAATACAAGTCCACTTTGAAAATTTTTATGCAAAACGTGCAGAAGCCAATCATATTTATTGCTGGAGGCCTCTTTCCCATTTCATTGAACAGCAATATTAAGGTCTGTATAATTATTAACAAATGGATGGAACAGTTGAATTTTATCTGATGAATTGGATCTTCCAGGTGGCCAAGTTCGCATTCAGCGTTATGACCATAGTGCAGCAAATGGATTTGGCCGCGCGTTTTAAATAAGTTTAAATATATGAGTATGAGTATATAGAGTAATCCATTTACGGACAAACAATCTCTGTATCTTAAAGTCTATAAAGCACAACTAAGATATAATTATTAACGCACCACAGAAAATAAAATAAAATACATGACGTTGCTTTATATAATACTTTTATTGTTCAACCCAAAACGAAGGATCTAGGAAGCTGAGTCTAAAGAAAAATGTTGGAAAAATTCATCACCAAATTGTAGAAAAGACTAGTCAAATTTGTAAAAGTATTTTGGAAACGTGCGAGAAAGATATTTGTTTAGGGTTTGGACCTGCAAGCGTAAGTTCGCTGGCACAAACTCAACAGCAATTTTCAATTTTCTTAATAACAACCAATGATGGAAATTTGAAAGCCCTTGACTCGATTGTACCGATTTATAGTATAGATCTTTATCTCGGAGCTCGATCTTCTGAAAATATTTTGAATGTTCGTCTTCTAAAACCTTAGATTAAGACCAACGCGCAGCTTAGGAATAAACTATAGGTATTCTACATAATATTCGATATATGTACGCACGGACGCGAAAATGATTGACGTCTAAAATTTTCCTAATTACAGGCCAAGTGTCGCGTGCCAGTACCGGGCTTGTGATGGACACCTTTAGTAGCTGGCATAAGGCAGCTGGCTTAATCCCAGGGGTAAAAAGCAGCTATAAAAGCAGAATATTTCTTTTTTTCTGCTCACAGTATCACTTGCAATGACCGGAATATTCAGACTAACTTATACAGCTGCCTTGAGCGCTCGGATACGTTCCAGGGAGAGTTGCACCTACTTGTATCGAGTTATGAAATTAATGGGCTGGATAGCACCCAAGCAGGGTATTAAGCGGTATATGTACTTGGCTTGGATGTGCTTGGTTTTTCTATTTCCATCGCTTTATCTGCCATTTGGTCTCGGCCTAAGTTTAATTTATAACTTCGAGAATTTTACTCCCAGCGTATTTCTGAGTGTACTTCAAATGGCTTTCAACGTATCCGGAGCAACCGTTAAAAGTTATATTGTGTACGTTTATATGAGTCGTCTGAACCAGACAAGATCGATAATGGACGCTCTGGATGAGCGACTGCAGAGCGACAGCGATCGGATGAAGATCCACAAGGCTGTGGCTAGTTCAAATTATCTATTTATGGTTTATGCAGTGCTTTATATCAGCTATACGGTGTCAGTGTTTGTGGTGGGCTTGGCAAATAGACAGCCGCCCTGGATGATCTACAATCCGTTCTTCGATTGGCGCAAAGGCGTGGCCAGCCTGTGGCTGCATGCGATGCTCGAGTACATTCTGATGGTATCGATGACCATACTGGTGCTCATCATAGACACATACACTCTTGTGTTTATAATTAACTTTCGAGCCCATATCGATGTACTGAAGGATCACATTCGAAATCTACGCACCGATCCACTGCAGACTGAGGCCAAGAACTATGATGAACTGGTCTACAACATTATTTATCACAAACTAATAGTGCAGTAGGTGCATTTGATATTTATATGGTATTATTTCGACTGCCATAAATTCTTCCATCCCGCCAGATGCTGCAACTTGATGCGTCCAGTTATGTCTCAAACCATTTTCATACAGTTTTTACTGGTTGGCGTCGTACTGGGCGTGACTATGATAAATGTCTTATATTTCTCTGGTTTATTTCGTGCAATTTCCTCGATCTTGTTTGTCACGGCCCTGCTGTTTGAGACCTTTCCCTTTTGCTATCTGTGTGACCAGCTTGTCAATGATTGCTACGAATTATCGAATCTTCTGGGTGAATCGCATTGGATCGACGCAGAGCCCAAATATAAGTCCACGCTGAAGTTTTTCATGCACAACCTGCAACAGCCGATTATCTTTACTGCTGGCGGCATTTTTCTCATCTCACTGAACAGCAATATCCAGGTACGTAAATATTAAATTTAATTGTTAATTATCAAATTCATTGCGATTTGCAGGTGGCCAAGTTTGCGTTCAGCGTGATGACTATAGTTCAGCAAATGAATCTGGCCGATCGATTTAAATAAGTTAAGTAAAAAAAGGCTTCAGCCTGTCTGAAGGAAAATAGACTTTTGAGTAGCATCAATTTGTATGGCAACACGAAAATCAATTTGCAAATTATATCCAGCCAAAACACACACCTTGGAGAAGGCATAAAAGTAGCTGCTTACTCCCTACTTCGATTTATTTTGTTACCATATTTTATTGACTTTGCAAAGTCAAAGCATATTGTCGAAGCAATTTCTCATTAATTATTATATTTTTTTCAAATATCCCTATCGAAAATATAAGAATACCACCCGACATATTTGTTAGGCCTTGGTGCCTTGAATATATCTGAATATTAAATGCTATATGCATTTTATGTTTCTGTATTAACAAGTTTAATCAAGTTGTAGTACGCTTTGAACAATAAAATACGAAGAGCTGTAGCTCTGACCTTAATAATAAAAAAATCCCCCAGCTGTAGGCCAAAACTTAAATATATTTATCAATTTTTTTTACCAGCATATGGCTTATAAGCATAATCAGATAAAAATGATGTCACAAATTGGCGTGTGAAATTCCAGAAACTGTGCAGCTAGCCAAAAGAACAAACACACGGTGCCAAAAGTCAACTACCAAGGTGTGCAAGATCCCAAGGAGCTTATGAGTGTGCGGGTTGTGTGTGCTGACCAAGTATCTGGGACTGCGGCACTCCGCTGGCTGTTTGCTTGCCACTGCAACACGTTTCAATATTGACTCTTAAATGTTACGGTAGCGCGGATTTGAGGCAAGCAGCTCTTTGCCACCTCAACGCTTCAGACTCATCATGTCTGTATATATACACATGTGTGTATGTGTGTGTGCGTGTGTGTGTGTGTGTGTGTGCAACAGGCTGTGGCTAAGCAGCTGCTTGCTTAATTAATTAATTGCCGATGTGGCAAAACTTTATTGTTTCTTGCATCAATCAAAAAGCTCAAAAATAACGAAAACATGAAACGATTGGCTGACTAGGATATACCCTGCGCTCAGCTGACGATTGGAATTCTCTTTTATGCATACATGCTTTATCCGGCGGCTACGTTTCTACTTTTCTAAACCCCACGCTCTGTAGGAGAAATGCGTTCTTGATTAACGCTGGTATTCAAAATCCGATATTTATAAACCCAAACACAAGGCTGTTTTTCTAAAAAAGAGTTTATTTTACAATTTAAGGGGAATGGGAAAAGATTTCAAAGAAGTTAAATGTTTTACATCTGTTTACTTTAATACGAACATCTAAATACCAAATTGAGTGTATCTAATTATCGAGCTATGCTTAAAAGATCATGCCTCGAAATCAATATTAATCGATATTATGAAACATTTAATTATATTTAGGTTTCGATAACGATTTTATATAGATGGACAGCTAGAGCGGCTCGGCTGCCTATGCTGATCAAGAACTATATAATTTTGTGGATTGGAGATGCCGTCTTGCGCCTGTTACGTACCTATGCACAAGCCCATTAGAGCCTGTTTACTTATTTTCAATGGGTTGAGCGTAAAAGATACAAAAAATAAACAAGAAACCTGTCTGTTGAGGCAAATTATTAAAAGGAAATAGTTGACATTCCTTGGTAAATATGCAATTGCAACGGTAACTGCAACTGCAACTGCAACTGCAGCGGCAGCGGCAGTGGCAGCTACTGGCTGCAACCTGAATTAGAGCCAAGTTGTCGATGATGGCTGATTGCCCCTATAAGGAAAACAGCCCGTGCCGTCGCGCAGCTATCTCTATTACCACGGCCAAGAACACGGCAATGGGAACAAATAACAAACAGCAGCCGTCGACTACCTCCTGTTTTCTGTTGTTTATATATGTATATTGACTTTTTTTTTCAGCTTCTAATTTTTGTAGGACAAACAATTTCCGCTGCCGCTGCTGCTGCTGGCTGGCTCCTGGGCATTGCCAAATGCCAGTAGTTATAAAAAATGCACAACCTTTTTTACGATTCAGCAGTTATCATTATTTTATATATTTTTTTATTATTTTTTTCTCTTGCTACAAGTCGGTCGTGTTTGCTGTTGCCTGGCTTGTTGTTGGCCAAATAAATTCTATAAGTAATAATCCAAGAGATGCAGCAACGGGCGGGCTATTGCAGTTGCACTTGCCCCAACTGGCCGCCGCGACGTCGTGAACAGTTAGAAACGTCGACGTCGCTTGGCGCTCAACTGGTTTGTGCGGCAAGTGCGGCAACTAAGCGGCAACAAGGCGGTTTTGAGGCCGCGCAACAGCTTCCTCCTTCTGCTCGTGAACAGTACCTTTAGCCAGCAAATTCTTGGCCAAAAGGGTATTTCGTGCGATACGAACAGCAACCACCACAACAACAACAACAACATCAACCTGGGCAATGTTTTTTTCCGCTCAATGCGCCGAGTTTCAGAGCCAGTTCGTGCAGTTTGCTGCAAGTTGTTTGGTTGCAGCTAGATAAAAATGCAGTTAATAAAACTGTAAAAACTGGACGCATGCGCAGCACAGCACAGCACACACACAAACACATACACACATAGGCACAAACACACAGAGATATACAGATGCAGAGCGCCCGCCTTGGTCTGGGCAAGTGCAACAACAACTGCAACTGGAACTGCAACTGCAACTGTGGCACATTGCAAGCTTTTGCGCCTTTTGCAACGCCATTTAATTGCCTGTTTGCATTTCACATGAGGCGCGCCACAGAAATGGGCGGTTCGCTGAGCTTTCAGCTTGCCCATATCCATATCTCAAGGGGACGGCGGTGGGGTGCACGGATCGTTAGTTCGTTTTTCAACAGATCAGCAGAGGGTTATGTGTTATTGCATGCTTTGTGAGGAATTGAACGTTAATTTAAACTGTTCAGATTTAAGTATAAAACTAATTTAATTTGGACTTAAATCCTCTTTAAAAGCAGTAAAATTTATATGATAATAATAAACATAGTAATAATAATAATCACATAGCAAATATTTAATTTAAATTTGCAGAAAAATTTTCCAGTTCTCTAAATAGATTTACAGATTTGTATAAAATTACCAACTGAAACAAGCTTCGTGAAGTGTTAAGGGTATTCCTTTTCATCATATCTGTTGCCATTTTTGAGTTACATTTCAAAAGGTAAATGAAGCCTAGATTTATAAACAAGTGCACTTCAAGCTAGTGCAAAAGCTCCACAAAAACCGCACTAAACGGTTTTTGAAACGAATATAAAAGTAAATATCATAAAGGATTCATAACTAGTTCACATTTAAAACCGTTTTGATTAGTTGCAGAACTGGTTCAGAATCAACTTTACAGTCAGTTAGAAACTTTGTTATTAAAGAACTTATATTTATTCTTTACTTTTTCTAATTTTTTCTATATTTCTTTATTAAAAGACATACAAAATTCGCAATAAATGTTTTATTTTTTTTACTATAGAGCTTTGAGCCAAAAGTGAACCGGCACAAAACTGACCTTCGTTCATTAACGACAATCGAGCGCATAGCAAGGCATAAACCTAAAAAAAAAATGCCATATTCGGCTAAGTAAAAACCAGTTAGCTGCAGCCACAACCAACCAGCAGCTGCGACTAACTAACTAGTAGTAAAATTAGCTTTAGAATTTTGTGTTTCTGTTTGTATTTTTTTTCCTTTTTATCTGTAGATTTTAATTTGCCAGCCAGCAACAAAACTTACAGAAAAAAAGAAGAAAATAAAAAAAGAATTAAAAACATGCTGAATTAATTTCGCATTAGAACACGCGCATGCAACGCGGCCAAAACGCAGCCAAATGGCCAAATGGCAATCCGGTAACCGAGCCAAAGGGGCGACTTCTAGTTCGGGAACCAAAGTGGAAGTCGTCGACTCAGCCAAGCTGCACGCTTCGCTCCGCTGCCATTTTGTGCGGCATAAAAAATAAAACACAGAAGAAAAAAATAAACTTGTTTGCCAAACAAACAAAAAATTAATAAATTAAGACAACTGTAAAATTTTTGAAACAATTGCTAAGTTACAGCTATTTAAAATAAACCTCACACATTGAATAAAAAATCATTGTTTTATTTTTCTATATTCTATAAAAAATATTTAAATAAATTGATAAAAATTGCCCAATTGCCTAACTACAGCCTTTTTGCTTTGTATGCCGAAAATGTAATACCCTTGCAGACATTTGCTTTTAGCTCAAAGGTGTGAATAGTTAAGTTCGTGAATGATGAGTTTAATGTCTTGGAAAACAGAATACAATAACTGTTTGATATAGGGATCCGATCAATTCCGACATATGTACTGACTGCACCAGAAATAAGGATCTTAAAGTTCTAAGACGAAAGGTTTAACAATGAGAGCCTTGTTCTTATAGAAACAGACAGACGGAAACGGTTGTATAAGCTAGGCGGCTGATACTGATCTAGAATATATATACTCTATGGGCTGACATTTCTTTTCTACAAGGGTATTAAAATATATATATATTTCTCATAGAGTACAAGAAAGCACGGTGGCTCAAAAGAATTCTTTAGAAATAATATAGATTTCTTCCAATAAATAATAATAATTGGAAATCGTTTACCAGAGCTTTAAATGGGTTAAAGGTTTTACAACTTTTGGTCAAAGAAAAATGCTGAATTACTCGCCCATAAAAAATAATTAGACCAACTCTTAAAAAAAAAAATTAACCAATTAATAAAAAAGACAACTGTAACAATTTTTATATATTTTTTCATAAATGTAAATAATGCTTTTTGTGCCATCTTAAAAATCGCTTACAAGCGCCAACAAACTTGGCCCAAAACAATTGAACAAAAAATTTAAATAATTTCTGCTGATTTGTTTAAACGAAAAGCCGCAAAAATAAAGAAAAGAAAACCTCTTCAGCTTTTTGTTGACGCAGCTGGGCCGAGTTCAACTTGCGGGCAGGGGCAAGGGGTACGCTCACTCGGCTTACAATGTTGGAGCCGCTGGCGCCAACGCCGGCGGGGAGACAGCCCCTCGCGAAGGTCTACGCAAGCGCCAGCTGCCGCAGCAGAAATTGCAAACAGTCAAGCAATTCAAAAAATATATTTTTTACTTAACAATGCTTTACAACAAAAGCAACAACAACAAACAGACGCTTAAGTGCTGTAATGTGCCGCTTAGTTGGCCATAAACGGCCGAAAATTTGTTCGACAAATTTTGTTTGTTGTTGGCACAAAGAGTTGTACGACTTTTGGTGGGCATGTGTTATGAGTTTGCAGACGGCCAAGGATTGGTAGTAAAAGTACAGTCGTTACCTACTATAAT